TTTGGAACCAGAAGAGACCTAGAATAGTAAAAGCAACAGAGATGTGATAGAGGGTATCATAATCCCCAAACTTGAAACTATACTACAAAGCCACCATGATAAAAACAGCATGGTACTGGCAAAGAAACAAACCTGAGGACCAGTGGAACAGATTAGAAGAGGCAGAAACAACTCTATACATACTCAACTACCTCAGCTTTGACAAAGCAGCAAACCATCCTCACTGGAGGAAAGATAGCTTCTTCAATAAATAGTGTTGGAAAAACTGGATTTCAACCTGCCAAAGATTAAAATTAGACCCCTATCTTTCACCATGCACTAAACTGAAATCAAAGTGGGTTAAACACCTAAATATTAAAATGAAAACACTAAACTTGCTGGAAGATAAATTAGGTAGAACTTTTGAAGACATTGGCATAAGAAAAGACTTTATAAACAAACACTCAGTAGCACTGGAACTTGAACAAAGAATCAACAACTGGAATCTTATCTCTTTAAAAGCTTCTGCATTGCAAGAGAAACTACCAACAGTGCTAAGAGACAACCTACAATGTGGGAAAAATTTTTTACCAGTTGTTCCTCAAACTATCTACTAACTAGATTATATAAAGAATTGTATTGTACTTCCCTGGGGATGAATAACAGTGATTGATATTCTAATAGATATCAATCACTTGGGTGGAGGGGCCAAGGTCTTGACCCAGCCTTTCCAGGAAATATCCCTGACCCCCACCCTTACTGAGAATCCTTATATGCTTGCTATGTGACTTGTTCCCTCATTTGACCCTCATTTAATCAATATTACCTGGGTGACTATACTTGAAATCTTATTGGTTGGTCATAGTTTTGCCCCACCTATGCCCACCTTATAAATTTCCACTGGTTCTTACAGTTTTATCCCACTTTGCATCCACCTCACAATATGGCTTTGCCGTGTAAAACATCTTTGGAAAAAGTTGGGTGAGCGGGCAACCCACTTTCCAGTTCCCCCTCCTGTCTCTTAGAAAGAAGCTTTCTTTCCCTCAATATATTTTTCCTACTATTAAAAAAAAACAGACCCCCCCAAAATAAAGACTCAATTCAAAAATGGGCATCTGAAATGAAGACATTTCTCAGAGAAACAAGTAAAAGCAGCAAATAAATATATGAAAAAAATGTTTAACATCATGAGTCATTGGACACATGCAGATAAAAACAACACTGAGATCCCACCTCACCCCAGAAAGAATGGCTGCTATCAAAACATCAACCAATAACAAATGTTGGCGGGGTTGTGGGGAGAAAGGAACCCTTCTCCATTGTTGGTGGGAGAGCAGACTGGCGCAACCACTGTGGAAATCAATATAGAGAAACCTCAAGAAATGAGGATTAAATGTCCCATTTGACCCACCCATCCCTCTGCTGCATATCCTTCCAAAGGAATTAAAAGAATCATACCACAGCAATACATGTGCACCCATGTTTATAGGGACATAGTTTATAATAGCTAAAATGTGAAAACAGCCAATTGCCCATCAACTGGAGACTGAATAAAGAAGATACAGTTTTTCTATATAATGGAATACTACTCAGTTATAAAGAATAAGAAACTAGATACATTTATACTTAAGTGGATGCACACTGAGGACATGCTGCATGCTTTTGAGTGAAATAAATAGAACACACTTGTAAATACTGACTAGTTTCTCTGGTGAGAAAAATTAAAAGTATAAATAAGGCTCAAATTGTATAATTGATAATGTGAAATAGGAAGAAAATGTCAAAAGGAGCAGCAGAAGTGGGAAGGGTAGGGGAAAGGAAAGAAGGGAAAAGAAAAAAATATGAGAAAAGGAAAAAATGGAAACAAAGTCATTGTAAATAGGGAAGGGTGGAGGGGCTAAAGAGAGAGCAGGGGAATGGGTAAAAAATAAGAACCAAAATACATCATGTAAAGGTACAAAATCCCAATGATAAACATACCAGTAAACCTAAAATGTACCAATAAGCATAACAGAGGAAAAAAAAAAAATAAGGCCAAGTCTGGGCTGGAATGTAGCTCAATGGTGCAGCATCTGCCTGGCAAGCTTGAGTCCCTGAGTTCAGTTCCCCATATGAGAAAGAGGGCGGGGGGAAGCCCAAGGCAACGTGGGGCCTGCACACTACTTGTTTGCGATGGTTGAAATGGTGTGCATGGTCCTGTAACAAACTCTCCTAAGCTCCATTACCTTCTTCCTCTGATTCTTTATAGTGGCAGCTGTGTGGACTCTTTGTTCGGTGTGTATTATTTGCTGTCCTCATCTGATCATCATTCCTAGGCCGTCTTATGAACTCCAAAGTTAGGCACCCGCCCTCCATGGGTGGCATCCCTGGAGAGACTAGGGTCATTTTAGTATACGATTGGTAAATATTACTTATGTGGCTTGTTTTTTATGCTTAAAGTTCTAGAATTTTATAAAAACTGTTCATAGGAACTTGTGAATTCACAACTTAAGCTCCAGTTTTCAGCCTATAAGTCATATGATTTGAGTATTCCTTAGCATTGCTCTCTTTCAGATATTTTTAAAACTTTAAAAATAACAAGATAAACCAAGGCCAGAAAAACAGTTATAATGTTAGATTTCCAGCTGATGTATGCTGATGAATACTAGTATTCTCACTTATAAGAATTACAAATTATTATTAGTCAGTGATAAACTATGAAGACAAAAATCATTAAAAGTTGCAATTGCTTTTCCCCATATCAGATTAGTACACCAGAACTTTGTCATTTAAAATGCCACCTCTGGTTACCCTGGTTAACTATTGTGCTTGGGGTTTGCCTGGTGTTGTATCACTTTAGCAGTGTGATAGTTCGTAGCATGGATCAACTCACTGGTCTAATAATCAAAAGAACTTGGAGCAAAGCAAGATCAAACTGTAAAACAGCATGTATTAAGTCCTGTATCTCCATAGCTAGCATCAAAGGCAAATGGTAAGATGTGAGTCCCAGAGAGCTTGGGCTGGTTCTGCTCATCACCTGCAGCTTTATTTAGTAAATATTCCACATCCATATGGCCTGATTTCCTGGAGTCTTCACTGCAGCTTTGGCTTCATTCCAGCAACTTCATGCACTGCCCCTATCACAAATTACTTGGCAGTCCCCTGCTGTGTGCATTTTCATCATCATTCTGGCCTTCTGAACTCTGACCGGAGTTAACCATCAGGCTCTTCTTATAGCATATAAGGATTTTCTATACCATCCTTTCCAATTTCCTCCCTAAAAGCAGTTCCAAAAGCTTCTAAAGTACATGGTCAAACATAGTCACAGTAACAATCCCACTTCTCTGCTACCAACTTTCTGTATTAATCCCACATCTTAAAGGTGGAGAGGTTTAATTTAGCTCCTAATTACAGAGGTTTTCTGTCCATGGGCTGGTTTTTCCCAAGGCAGAAATATCATGGTGAAGCAAAGCTGTTTAGTTCATGGTGGCCAGGAAGCAAAGCTGGGGAATACTGCAAAAAGGAAAGGACCACGAACCATACAGAGTGCCCAATGTCATGCCTCCATGACCAACAGAGACATACCCAGAAGTGTGATTTACTTCTCTCATTGGCTTCCAACCCAATCGAGTTGGCACAATTACGTTCAGCCATCACACCCTCTATCTTCTCCCAGATCTGAACATGATGAGTCTGTTATAATGTCCCCTACTCAGGCAAAAGAGTGATGAAAAGTGGAAAATGAGTTTTACTCAACAAACTTTTTGACTCAATTTTTTAGCATTTGAGCAGTTCTATGAGTTTCAATTTTCCTTCCATTACCCAAATCCTGTGGGTTTACTCCCAAATCTGCTCTGCAGTAATATCTCCTAACATGTGACAATGAAACTGGCTTAAGCCTATGACACTGCAAGGACAGGGCCCAGGAGGGAACTGACAACATGTTCCATGTTTCTATGTTAACAGATTTTCTTCTCTGGATTTCTCATCCTATAAATCATATAAAATATCACTCAAACTAAATACATTTCTTCCTTTGAGTACAACTTTTAATAAAAAGTCCGGCAATGGTGGACTATATTTCTTATCTTCCTATGAAGTCCATGCATTAGGTACAAATATTCTTAAGTTTGAAGATAATTGTTGGCTAAAAAAAAGGATGAGATAGTCGGTCGTGGTGGTGCACACCTGTAATCCCAGCACTTGGGAGGCTGAGGCAGGAGGATCGCTGGGAGTTCGAGATCAGCCTGGGCTACATAGTGAATTCCAGGTCAGATTCAACTACGTAGTGAGACGCTGTCTCAAAAAACCAAAAAAAAAAAAAAGGATGAGATAATTACAGGGAAGTTTTGCAGCAGCCTTAGCATACACATCTCTCCATACATTGTCAACATTCTGAGAAGTCTTCACTAATCACTTCGGTTTCAGTTTGTGTTGGATGATATCATCATAATGATTCAACCTAGAGAGCTTAGACAGAATTTTAGTAAACATATCTGTATAGTATTAGTCTTTTAGGCCATCTGACCATCAAATTTACTGTATCTCAGAGATTGATGAAACCAGTAAGATAAGCCAGAGCCTCTAACTCTGTCAGTGTAAAAGTGTTCTCATAATAAATAATGGAATCTGGTCAGGACAAGATATAGTTTACCTGTTTGCAGACCTTTTAAGAAAGTATATAGTTTGCATTTCTGTGCTGAAAGTAAGAATAAAATAAAAGCAGCTAACAGGCTCTCCATCAAAAATTGTTTTTGGAGAAAAGCTTTCCTGCTTTTATTTCCAAAGTTGCAGGACAAAAGTTTGTCATTCCTAGCTCTCTGGGATCCAGAATTGCTAGAAAGATAATATTTCCTGAAAATATTGATCACTTAATGCAACATTTTTAACTCAAAAATGACAGCAAAGTCTTAAATCAGCTTCCTTACAGCAAGCTAAGGACTAAGGATTTAAATTCAGCTGCTGAGTTTTTACTTTTTTAAAATAGCCTTGTGCTTTTCTAAATTTATTTCTTTATAGAGCTCTCCTTTCCTTCTTTCTAGGTCATGGGTTTGGTTCGTCAAAGATGTCTCGTGCACAAACATTCCCCAGCTATGCCACGGAACAGAATGAAGAGGCTCAGCCTCCCTTGTCACGGTCTAGCAGCTATGGCTTCAGCTACAGCTCCAGCCTCATCCAGTGACATACAGAGGCCACCTCTGACCAGACAGTCTGTCCTGGACCTGCCTGCAGGGTCACTGCGCCCTCTGCCTCCTGGAAGACCAACTGCAGTACACACTGACATGGGTTGGGTCTAGCCCCAATTCCATTGAAAGGTTAAAAACTGGAGTTCTGCTTCCTTGATTAGTGGCTAAGTCCTTTATTTATTGAATTTCTATGGGGGAATCTATGTTTTACAATAATAGAATGAACAGTCATTTAAATAAACAAAATCCTTTGAGTCTGACAGTAGCAGAAGCCTTGGTGTTGGGAGAAATTGCCCACACTGGGTGGGTGTGGTGACCGAGTGACACCTGTCTTCAGTGCCCAGCCGTGCCTCTGAGCACAGGGTCTGTCCTTAGGCATCTTGCTGACCTACCACAAGTTTTGTGGCTTGTTCAGTTTTGACAGGGTCAAATTTAGTAAGCTCTGCAAATGGCATCTTAACCCTTGGTAGAAATAAATCCAGTGACAATTAAGGGAATGTAAATTAGAACACTCTGTTAATCAGGGTCTGGTAGCTCTGCTGTCGTGCGTGCGTGCGTGCGTGTGTGTGTGTGTGTGTGTGTGTGTAGACAAATATAGATATGGATATTGCTATATCCATCTATATATAATAAGTATATATATATATACATATATATGTGTGTGCTGAGGGTGACAGGATATGCTCTATTAAATTGTTGAAAACTGTACTTTGTTGCATTAAAATTAAGATTGCTATGTTGAATAGCTATTTTTAAAATAGTGCTTTTTTTTCAAAAAAAAAAAGGCTTCTTATTAGCAAAAGTATTTATGTAGTCCAGTCTGCTCTTGTGAAAAGTCTGAGCAAAAATGTGAGAAGGGGAATGTTTGGGAAGCAAGAGCTTAGCTGTCTTACCTGTCATGCTGTCACACTGTGTGTCTGGTTAGTGTTTCCATACTGTTGACAGTGTTTCTCTTCTTCTGAGCTACATGAGGAAGATCTGATGTGATCACTGATTAGCTTTCAATTAACCTGGGGAAAAAGAGACTCCAAATGAGAAACTAAGAAAGAAAAGAAAACGCACACACATTTTTAAAGAAATCAGCTATTTTTCAGTAAGAGAAGAAAAACCAGGCACAGAACAGTAGCTCTCAACATTTAAAATTTCATAGATACTATTCCCAGGGGCCAATAGGTACTTCTAATTTCCTATGTAACCAGACCTCACTGGGTTTCATTTTCTCTTGGAATGGACATGGTTTGTCTGAGGTTATAGGTGGAAAAGGATCAAATATAAATACTTTTAGGGCTGACACTGTTGAGAAACCTACACCATTAAAGGGAAGTAGTGGTTTCCTCACGAATGGAGGGAGTCTGGCTAAATTCAGTCAACATAGTTATGTGTGTCCCTAATTTTAAAAGCAAAAATAAAAATTATTCTGCCTGAAACATTTGATACAGTGTGTCTAATATTGGTATCTCTCAATTACTCTAGCATGGGTTTAAAGGATGGTGAGACTGACTTTTTTTCTTAATAGCAAAATTTTTATACGAACAAAAGCAGTCTGTTGAAGGGTACCTGTTTTGCTGGTCCCTGTTAAGATTTTTTTCATATCTATTCACAGCCTGAGAGTAGGTTGACCATTCATCTAAGTGAATTACTATTGAATAAAAATGATTCCATACCCCTTTTTGATAAATGTACACTTAAAACTACCTAGACTCTCTGAATCACTCAGATAGATATGAAAACCCCATCAAGATGCTAATCATAAGAGTTAATGTGGCTGCAAAAAATAAAAACCCTAAGCCTTCAGGGATAAAAAGGAAATTACTCAAACTCTCTTTGCTGTGAATTTTGCTGGCACAGCAGAGGAGCAGATAACTGGATTCTTTCAAGGATACAGCCTTCCCTGGGATCCCTGCTTTCGGGGTTCACACCTCTGAATTTCTTTAGTGCTTGGCATTTGCTTTGGAAATGCTATTACTCAAATATACCAGAGCATCTCCCAGCTGAGACCATTTGAGCACAGTTCCTAGTGCAGCCAATTCAGAGCAAGCCTCTCACTGCCTCACTCGGTTGAGCTGTTGCTTAGACACCAGAAGTTTCTATAAGGGACTTATGGGGAAAGGCCCTCAGGGGTCCTAGTTCATGTCTCAGCTTTATTAATGTGCCAGAAGCACAGACAGCAGGTCCAGGGGGATTCTGCTAATTACACAAGTCTGCTCTTGTGTCTCTTTGGTGGGAGACAAGTATCTGCATGAATCACTTCCAGAACACCGCTGGGTTCTGATCTTCCCTGGTGAACTAACTGAGAAGGTATAACCTTGAGCCAGTTTACTCTGAAAATAGTGTCACAGAAAAAGTGTGTGGGAAATTTACTTCTCAAGGCTTTAATCCAATCTCATCCTAGTGAGGATGATGCTATAAAATATCTCATGGTAGTGTTTTGAAGCTTTATTCTAGTATCCTCCTTCACATATACATTCAACTGAGTCAAAACTGCAAAGTGAACAGATAGAATTTATAGTAACCTCATACACTTGAAAAAAGGCAGTGTTCGTTGTAATAAAAATGACAAGCAGATAGAGCTACAAAAACCAAAGACAGAAACTTATTTGTATCAGTCCCTTGGAACTTCATAAAGATCAGTTCCACTGGAATGACTAGAATAGGTGTGGGCCTGTGTTCAGCTCACCCAAGCTTGTGGGTTTTTGACTGAAGATCCCTCTATATTTTGCAAGTCCTTTCTCTCTCCAGAGATGTACTATGTCTTTAAACATGCAGACAACTTTTTCATGGTGAGGGAGGGATTTCTATGAACCAAAGACATCTTTTGGCTCCGAAAGTGACTCAACTGGGGTTTCACCCAGATTAGTACATGTAAATAAAGATGGTCACCATTTCTACATCAGTTTGGAAGAGATCCATGATCAAGGAACCTCACATTCATAATAAAGTCTCTTCTGACAGCAGAGAAATCCTGGGCACACCTATCTCATAGAAAGATTGTATGAGGGGATTTATTTTTCATGTCCTCAACTGTTTCTTATGATAATCTTAATGTGCATAACCAACATATGACATTAATTTAAAGGCTGGAACAGTACACAATGAACTTTACTCCGTGGTTCACTATTCTGCTGGGGGATGGGGCATAAGACAAACCTTTCACTTACTTAATGGACAAACAGTAGGCACTCAGAGATCATTTATTTAGGCAGGCTGAAAATATTTCTGAATCTGTAGGTTCTGGCCACTGCCAAAATTTGAATTTTATAAAAAATATCTATTTACATACATATTACGGAAGATGCTGTTTTATAGAGCATGTGAACTAATCTTCACCTCTTTCACCAATTAGTCATCACAGCACTAGTCCTAGTATCTTGTACAATTCTTCTGTCTTCATTAGACATTTATGTTTGAAAAGTGTTCATCCCCTATAAAATAATTAGCCATTAGTATCTTCTGTCCAACCCAGAAACAGTGGCTTAACAAATAGCTTTACACTGTTAGTAGTAGTCTCTACAGATCCCATTTATTGCATGTGGTATCTTTATAGTAGATATTAAAATATATCATAAAGATTGATGTCTACTCATTATTTGGCAAATATCTCAAATAACTTTGCAAAAAAGCATGAGTACAGTATTCCCTTGATTATTGGAAACATTTAATGTACTAAAGTCAAACATTAGTGCTATATAAAAAGAAGCCAAGGAAATCATATTATTATAAAAATTGTAGTTCAGTTCTATTATAACACAGCACAATAAATGAAAAATATACATACAGTAGGGCTGAACTTTAGATGTGTAGCATTTCAAGTTTTACAAAAAGTTACACTAATAACTAATCAAAGTGAAAATTACATATTCTCCAATTCTATTAACATGTCTATCAATATTTTACATTTCAAATTACATTATCAATAACTAATTATATACTCCCAGACCACTTCTGTCTCAAAGTAGATAAAAATTTACCACAGGCATGCATTAATAGTTATAACAACAGGTGATATGTCACACATATTAATATCTAACCTATGAAATTTATGGAGTGTGTATTTATAGGCTATGAAATTTATAGGATGCAATTTCCCATAAAATTAGTAGAGAGGGATAGTGACTAGTCAGGAGGATAATTTAGGTAAAATGATAAAGAATTCATTGAGAGGTGCCTCACAAGTACAAGGTCCTGAGTTTGATTCCCAGTACCAAAAAGAAAAAAAAGAAAGAAAGAAAAGAAATGGATTGAAATGTCAAGAACAACACTTAGACCCTAGTTTCCTAACACTGTAATCCAGCTCTGTGTCACACACACTTGACCTTCTTTACCTAATGTATCATTTCTTAATATGACCACAGAAACACACATTAGCAACAAATATGCTTTTTTTCCATTCTGTGAAAAAAATTTAGCACAAAAGTATTTAGCATTTTAATCCTCATACTAAAATGTATCTTCAGTAATATGAGAATCATTTCTCTATGGCCAACTTCATTTTAGTGTTGTGAATATATATTATCATGACACATATATACATATATGGAACTGTGTAGGGGCTAAATATGGGAAAAGATCAACAAATCACACGTGTGATTCCTGTGAACATACTAAAAAGATTACCTTTTTCTCTGTGGAACTACCACAAATCCAAACTTTCTTCCTCAAGAATGTGAACTTTATTTCAACAATTGTTCCAACAGAGAAAGTATTAGATAGCTTAGAGATTGTCACAGAATTATGAAAAGCTGGGCACATTTTCTACGCAGGCAGAATGCTAGCCAGCTCCAGAAGCAATCTTAAAGGTCACAGAGAATAAAAGTTTCACTTTGCTTTCCTCAGGAGAAAATTGAAACCCATGGATGCTGTAATTTTTTAAAGGCAAAATGGTGAGGCGTGGTTTCTCCTAATTCCAGGGCCCGTGTCTAGGAATGTTTCCTTGGCTCCAGCTGGTCTTCCAGTTAGGCTCAGCGCAAGTTGAGAAATGCCACATGGCCTCATGATAAATACACCCTTGTACAGTTCCCATGTTTTGAAATGCTGTTATTCTTCTTGTATTGACTGCCAGCCATATCCATCAAAAGGTTTTCTGAGACATTTAATGAGACCTTGTAGGTCATAAATGACTGGTATAAGCTTTGTTATTCTTAAATTGTCATTCAGTTATGGGTTTATTTAAAATTCACTTACTGATCATAAAATAATTGTAAAAAATTTAGTAGTTGTGTGTTTTTTGTGGTCCTGCTAACTCCTCATAGTGTAATCATGATTATTGTTTTGGAATCTCTCTCTCTCTCTGTAGTACTTTATGGTGTCATTATTTATGTTATTTTTCCACAATTTTGTTGGGCAATTGATACTAGTACAGCTAAATTTTTTCATGTGACCTTTAGTTTCCAACTTCAGCAGAAATTCTGAACTGATTTGTTTTACATTAAAATAATGAATACCTCAAGTTTTTCCTTGCAGGCAATTATTTACATTTACTGAAGTTTAGAGAAATAAGAAATAACCTAAAAATATTAAGTAACATGAAAACCACAATTTACTTGTAATTTTCACACACATTTCCCTGATTTTAACATCTTGTAAACATTTCAAGTAGGTAAAAAGTGCATTTGCAATAGAAATGTCCCCCTAATAATTCCATTAAATGAATACTCTTATTTTATCATATCTTCTATACCTACTTCCCTAGTCCATATTTTGTATAATGTCTGTTGAGAGAATAAATGATTGTAATCATTATTTGGAACCAATTATACTAGTTAATACAATTAACTTCCTCAATCTGTTTCCTGCTTATTGGATGCTTTTAGACTGAGAGCATAAAATCAATCCTTTCTCTAGACACAGAATTGTGTGTAGAGAGGTGCTGAGACCCACAGTTCCAAAAACAGTTGCTTATTATCAGGTCTACCAAATTTAGAAATCCAACTTCAGTCAAAAAATAAAAATTAGATATGATTTAGTGCTTGAAAAATCACTATAAGATTTCTCAGAAAACATCTTGAGGGGGTTTTATGATGGTTTCAGATTGTTGACTGTTTGGCTGAGGGACTGAAAGGCAGCAAAATGAAGGACAGACTGGTAACAGTACCTTGATATTCAGTATTAATCCAAAATTAACACAATAAGAGAATGGTTTATCAACTTCAGATGAACAAATCTACTATAGTGCGAGCAGCGATACTTACTCTTCTCAATATAAATTAATAAATACACATCAACGGATGAAGTAGAGGACATGGGGTTCAAATTGTCACAGTGGAGTATGATTCTTTCCAGTTATAAGACATTCTTTTATTTAAGTTATAGTAAACCAGGCATGCACAACATTAACAAATCAATCTGCTCTCTGACATCTTCATTGCAGATGACAAGAGACCTCCCAGGACTGCAGTGGTTCCCTTGCCCCCACCCACTGCACTCTAACCTTCCTGGTCCCCCTATTCTCTCTTAGGTTTTGACCCCCTCCATCTTCCACTGAAGTTACCTATTTTCTTTTCAGATGTGCACAGAATAAGCCCATCTTGCAAAATCTTTATCCCTATGAATCTCTCAAATGTATTAAATTATATACCTTTTGCTTTCTGTAAATCTTTATTTAATTAACTTATGCATTATTTGTGAAGCCTTATATGTACAATATAAAGGAATGTCATTTGTAGTTCACTAAATATAATGTTTATTATCATTTTGATAAAAGTAACTTTGGACATTAAGCTGTTCTTAAATAAAACACCTGTTATAAATTTGTTTCTGTTGGAAAATATATTCTAGATTAATAATAATCTGGGGATAGCTGTACTTAAATACAAATTGAAACATTTTCTTGAAATGAAATGCAAAGAATAACTGTCCCTAGCACCTAAATGTGAAATTCTGGCAGAACTGAAAATATTATAATAATGAGGCAATAATAAAATTAGGAAATTTGATTATTTTCAAATATGTCTGTGTGATTTTTACCCTTGGTAAAAAGACATGAATTACAGTTGAAGAATAATGTTCTGAATTTATAATTTTATATGTGTGTATATATATAAATATATATCAATCCTTAAAAAATAAACCTAATATATTGTTATACATGTCTTATGATCCAAGAAATTTACAAATGATATTGCTACAAGGAAGATAATTTATAGTTGTATAATATCAACATTTACTTCATCACCTAAAAAGTAAAGCAGTTCAAAATACTAATTTACGTGATAAGCTTGCACAGTTGAAATGACAAACAAATAAACTGGTGGTTTTAACCCATGGGTGATTGAATATTGCTAACATTAAATGATTTCATTACATTTTTGTTACCATGTGATGAAGTATAACTACATAATTAAACAGAATTCTGACAAATACTGCTAACCTTTAAAATACTACTTATTCCTTTACTTTTTATCTTGTTATTTTCAAAATAAAGTAAAAGAAAGGCCATTAGTAAATGTGACGTTACTGAGAATGTATTGCGCATTAATATTTTCCTAACCCTATCTTATAATAGAATTTAAGTCTATTAGTGTGGCTCTGGCTTGGTAGAATGAGGGCATAATAATGTTGAAAATGGCATTAAAGTTCAACACATTTATTTTCCAGGGGAAAGATATCAGCAATATAAGTGGCTGGTGAAGTGTGATACAAGTAGATAATGGCTTTTCTTCCAGCAGTCTGCTCACTCAAATAAAATTATTGAAAATTAATATTTGGTAGACAAGAATAAACACCAAAATGGAAATTATGCAATTACAACTATACTAAAGTTATATAACAATGATGTCCATCATTAATTTAAATCTCATGATATAGCACTTTGTCACTTGACTTAAGACCTACCTAGAAATATATGTACAGCATCTGTTTCTCTGACCTAGCTGTTAAATATAAACTGCCCTTTTTTGCTTAGTTGAATAGATCAATTTGTTACAAATATTTGAAAAATTAAAAGTGTAAGTAAGATTCAAATTTTATAATTGACAATGTGAAATAGGAAGAAAGGGGCTAAAGGTGTAGGGGAAATGGTAAGGGTGGGGGAAAGGAAATAAGGGAAAAGAAAACATATGAGAAAAGGGAAAAAAGGAAACAAAGCCTTTGTAAGGGAAGGGAGGAGGGGGTAAAGGGAGGACAGAGGTATAGGGAAAAAATGAGAACCAAGGCCTGTCATGTCAAGGTACAAGATCCCAATGATGAATACAACTGTACTGTATGCCTAAAAAGTACCAATAAACTCACTGAGAAAAAAAAAAAGAAAAGAAAAGAAAAACCAAAATGAATTAGGAACCCTGGATCCAGCATTCAGTGGTGTTAAAAGGTATTTATTTATTTATTTATTTATTTATTTATTTAGGTTTTTTAAGACAGGGTCTCACTGTGTAGTTGCAACTGAACTGCAACTCACTATGTAGCCCAGTGATCCTCCTGCCTCAGCCTGCTGAGTGCTAGGATTACAGGCATGCGCCACCACACCCGGTTTAAAAGGTCTTTCTAAGGGTAGGTCCAGCCAAACCTATGAATTTGACAGTAGTAAAAAAAAATTATGAGATCTTTCTATTTGGTGAAGCCAGTAGAAGTTTATAAGATGCTTATTTGTATAATGAGCACATCCATTCTTCCTAAATGCTGAATTAAATACAGCGTATTCTGAATATGAAGATCTGTGTCAGTTGCATAACAAATTGGTGGCATGAACTTAATAGATTTTTCTTTCCCTTTTTGTCACTAGTAAATCATGGGGATTTGGGAATTATATTTACTGGGGAAAGTATCTTTATGAAGAGTGTAAAGATTTATCTAAGCTTTGAGCTGACATCAAAGAAGATTTTTAATAAATACACGTCACAGGGCACAGCTCAAAATCAATTAGTCTGCTACTTTTTGCAATGCACAAAGAAACCAGCTATCTCTATTTTCAAGTTAGTTGAGAAATATGTTAGGCACATTTTTCTTATTTTGATATCTACATGGTAAATTATTAAAGTAAATGTTAGACCAAGAACCAAAGAGAATATTTCAACACTCATGAAAATATAAATTATCCCAATACACAGGTATTTGAGCACATCAGGCTACTGAATGAAATTTGATGTTAAATGTTAGTCATTAAATATTTATTGAGTTATGCATACCTCCAGACTGTGAATAAACGACATGCAATATCTCTTTGTTATTTCCTCCTTTTAATTTGCTTTAATAGGTGTCAATACTAGGAGGTAGTTCTGACAGCAAAGTGGGTATAGGACTTTCTATCTAAAATTAAGGGAGAAAAAGAAGGCAAGAAAGATCATCCTCACCAGCTTCCCAAATTTACTTCTCAAGACTGGCACTGAATTTCCCTCCTCCTCCTCCTCTTCCTCGTCCTTTTTCTCTTTTTCTCCTTCACCTTCATCTCTTACTGAATAGACTACATTTTAAATCAAAGAAAATGGTTAGCAGAGTCTTTTTAAAAACCCATATCATCTCTATCTAAACTCTATACATTTTTAAATGTCTTTTTTTAAATTTTTTATTTCTCTTTCACATAAATTTTCATTCTAGACCAATATGTGCATGGATATTACCACTCATCAATTTGGATGCGTATGTGAATCACAGACCTATTTTAAACACTGAATACTCTTCTTAAAACTAGTAAATCTTAGTTATAAGGTAGTCAGAGGGGAAAGTGCTATTTCAAATTTTAATTTACAAGGCATTAATTGACTCTTATAATAGCTAAAAATCAACAGTAATACTTGAATAGTGAAAAGCTCCAGCCCCTGCAGTATTTCTGTCACACCTATGGAAAGAAAAAAAAATGTCATCAGAGGGAAGGCCTTCAAGGAAATAATTGGGAGTGCTCCAGCTAGTGAAAGAAGTATAGGACAACATGGACTACCAAAGCTTCGTGAACTTCCAGACAAAGTCCCTTAAAAGACTGATAATTATTCATGAGATTATAGAACACTCCCCTTCCTTAGGATTTACCACCACAAAAGCAAGTGTACACAATAGTGGCTGTAAATTTCAAACAAAAGTGATGCAAAACAGAAAGTCTCTCCAAGGAGGAGTACTTAGGAAGCCTGAAGTAAAGGGGCAAGAAGAAAAGAAAACTAGAAAATGAAACAAACTAGGACACTAGAACAATTTAGAGGAGCAACAACAAACTTCAAACACAGTCCCAAAAGAAAAGAAAAGATAGTTTGAAGATACAAAGCATTAATTGAAACAGATGGAAATCTGACTCGTCAAAATTATCAGACTGGAGGCCAGGCATAGTGGTGCACGCCTGTAATCCCAGCACTCGGGAGGCTGAGGCAGGAGGATCGCTGTGAGTTGCAGACCAGACTGGGCTACATAGTGAGTTCCAGGTCAGTCTCAACTACATAGTGAGACCCTGTCTCAAAAAAACAAAACAAAACAAAAATTATCAGACTGGAAATTTATTTTTAATTAATTTTATTGGCACATTTTAGGTATATAATATAATGGCATTCATAATTGGAGATTTTTACGTTTACATACTATATCTTGGTTCTTATTTTTCCCCTTCCCCTGCCCTCCTGACACCCTCTCCGCCCCACCTTATTTACAAAGACTTTGTTTCCATTTTTTTCATTTGCTCATATTGATTCCATTCCCCTTTTCCCCTACCACTCCCACTTCCCCTTCCATTGGCACATTTTCTTCTTATTTTATATTATCTACTATATATTTTCATCCTTACTTACACTTTCAGTTTCTTATACCAGAGAAATTATTCAATATTTACACATGTGTGTCCTATTTATTTCACTTAAGTATTGCCTCAATAAGCATTCATTTAGCTATAAATGCTTCTAATTTCTCATTCTTAATGGCTGAGTAAAACTCCATTTTATATAAAAGAAACCCCATATTTTCTTTATCCAGTCTCCAGTTCATGAGCAATTTGGCTGCTTCCAAGTTTTATCTATTACATACTGTGCTGCTATGGACGTGGGTGTACATATATACTGTGGTATGATTCCTTTAATTCTTTTGGGAAGACACCCAGCAGGGAAATAGCTGGGTCAAATAGGATCTCTAGTCCTAGTTTTTGAGGCATCTGCATACTGACTTCCACAGTGACTGCACCAGTCTACACTCCTATCAATAGTGGAGAAGGGTTCCTTTTCCCCACAGCCCTGCCAGTATTTATTATTGGTTGATTTCAGCCTTATTTTCTGAGATGAGGTGGAATCTCAGTGTTGTTTTCATTTG